CACTCATTGCAGCCTTGATCTCCTGGGCCCAAGTGATCCTCCCTCCTCAATCTCCCAAGATGCTGGGATTATAGGCCTGAGCCACCTGACCTGGCTCCTCTTAAGCTTTTGTGATCAATCACAGATACGCTATGAGGACACGACCTTTTACAAAGTACTCATACTTAACTGCAGTTTATTGCATTGCAAAGAACTCTAAGAAACTTTCTAAATTATTTTGATGGCTTGAGTTTTAGCCATATTAGCATTTAGAAATAGTATTTCTTGGCTGGGGGCAGTGCTGCTCACTCCTGTAATCCCAACACTTTGGTAAACTGAGGCCGACAGATCACTTGAGGTCATGAGTCCGAGACCAGCCTGGCCAACAATGGCTAAACCCGGACTCTGCTAAAAATACGAAAATTATCCAGGTGGCATGGTGTGCGCCTATAGTCCCAGCTACTCAGGAAGCTCAGGCAGGAAATTCACGTGAACCCAGGAGGCAGAGGTTTCAGTGAGCTGTGATTGCATCACTGCACTCCAGCCTGGGTGACAGAGTGAGACTCTGTCTCAAAAAAAAGAAATACTAGTATTTCTTGAAATAAATGAACCATTTGCTTGGAAATTGTTCCATTTGAATTGATGTGAGGTTTAATAAATATGCTTTGAAACAAAAAGAAGCTATTGTCACATAGATATTTAAGTTATATTTGAATTGAATTTAAAGATGGCTGGCTAGTTGTAAGCATTTGAAAAGCAGTTTAAATTCCAAATTAAAGATGGAAAATTGTAAATTACTCTGTGTGTGTGTGTGTGTGTGTGTGTGTGTGTGTGTGTGTGTATGTATGTGTGTGTTTTGAGATGGAGTTTCGCTCTTGTTGCCCAGGCTGGAGTGCAATGGAGTGATCTCAGTTCACCACAACCTCTGTCTCGTGGGTTCAAGCGATTCTCCTGCTTCAACCTCCCTAGTATCTGGGATTACAGGCATGTGCCACCACAGCTGGCTGATTTTGTATTTTTATTAGAGATGGGGTTTCCCCATGTTGGTGAGGCTGGTCTCAAACTCCCAACTTTAGGTGATCTGCCCACCTTGGCCTCCCAAAGGGCTGGGATTACAGGCATGAGTCACCATGCCTGGCCTGTACCTGTCTATTTTTTGAAAGACTATGTGACATATAAAGACTAGGAGATTGAAAGATCTGTTTTCTAAGTTTTGCTTTGCCACTTATTTACCTCATGTCTTTTCAGAGTCACTTGACGTCTACCTCTAAGCCTCAGTTTCTTCATTTGTCAAATAAAACCCCAAATTTCAGGGAAATGGTACCTGTCCTGCTTACTTACTAGCACTGAGCTGATGATTACCTGATTAATGTCATGTAAAATTACTTTATAAACCACCGATATAAAGCATTTAACATCTTTGCCAGGCTATTTAAACTCAGAAGCAAGATTTGGTGTCTATTTTAGTTATATGGATTCTTCACTAGTCTTGGGGTATATATATAATTACTTCTGTGGATTCACTGCATTGAATGCAGTCATCGAAAAGTACCTATATAAATTAGTACATAACAGACATGAGTTCAACAGCCTCAGATTAGGTCTTCAGATGAAAGCTTTTCTTTCTTTGTCATATTCTTATACCCACTGTTTTATTTTTGCCAGTATCTCCCCTTGTGCAGTGTTACTTGTTTGTAGATGAGATAGTAAATCAGTCATTATTGGTAATCTACATTTTTTTAAAAGAAAAAGGATAAAAGATCTATTTTATAATGAGAGGGGACTTGGAATAATCTGAGTGTGATTGGGATGAAGAGAGTGTTAAATGGAAGAGGCAGAAAGGAAATCAGTATCTGTGGAAAACAACTAGAAATAGATTCTAGGCTCTAATAGGGAAATCGCAAAGGAATAATGAATGAATGTGTTGAGTACTAAGCCAACATATTTTTCACCTCTAAGCTATATTTACTAGGACAGTCTTTGAAACATAAATGTAACACTGTTTACATTTATTAGTCAATTTTTGCTGCTATAGTGGAATACCACAGATTGCATAATGTACAATGAACAAAAATATATTTCCTACAGTTCTCATGGTGGCAAGTCCAAGATTGAGGGTTAGGCATCTGATGAGGACCTTTTTGCTGCATCATCCCATGGCAGAAGGGCAAATGGGATGGGGAAGAGAGAGAGAAAGAATGTGTATGTGCGTGAGGGCATGTGCACAAGGGAGGCCGAACTTGTCTTTTCATAACAAACCCACTCCCAGGATAACAGCATTAATCCAGTCACCTCTCATGAGGCCTTATCTCCTAGCACCAAGTTTCCAACATATGCTTTTGAGGGACATATTCAAACCATAGCATGCCATCGCTAGAGCTTTAGAGAAATGCTGTCATGCACTCTGCATTGTGGAGGGGAAGCATCTCTTTCTTCACCAAAGCTAGATAAAAAGATGAAAAAAAATGTTTTTCTCTTTGACAGATTATGTGTTTAATTTTGTATGAAGTGTTTTATATTATATTCTAGAATTCCAAGATCTAGGCGGGTGGTAAAGTGGCAGTGGTGACTTCGGGGATCTGATCTCCCTAAAGTTCCTGACACTCTATGTCTGATTCTGCAGTGGCTGCCAGAAAAAGATTTAAATTTATCTAAATCTTACTCTAATATCTCTGAAATATTATATTTTGCTGATCAATATATATATATTTGCATTAGAATAATAATAGTTATAATTTTTTGAGAATACACTGTTGCTGGTCCTGTTAAGCGTTTTATAGATTTCCTATCATTTACTTTTTATAACACCTCTGGAATTTAATATAGTTTCTCCTCCTATTTTGCACGGATGTTGAGGCTCGGAAAAGTAACTTGCCCCAAATCCCACAATAGTGAATGATCAAACTGGCATTTAAACCCATATCTCTGGGACTCCACAATCTGCAATTTTTCTGTTCCAAAATGCCATACCACTACACTGATAGAACGATTGTCTCATTTTTATAAATCTGGCCCAGCAGCTTAATTGCGCAGCCAGACTTGGGTATTCCTGGAGCAAGAGTACTACCTCTAAATTACTAAATGTACTACCTTAAAAGTAAAATGTAGATGATAATGTTTAGGTGAACATGGCTTTTAGCCACAAAGCTTCTCTGAGTTTAATGGGGAGGCATTCCCTTCACTTGTGGATCCTACTGTCGGGATACCTACCCTCTAAAATCAAGGATGCAAAGACCCATAACCATTATAAAAATAAACTCTAGTTTTCAGGAAAGATAAGCATTAATTTATCTGATGGAGATTGCTTCATTTGGTGTTATTGCTTTCAAAGCAGTCAAAGGAAGCTTGTACATGGCTAGTGAACATCTGTTGTTCCATCATTGAGCAGCTCTTGTCAGGAAGTCCTTTTGCAATTCTAAACTGAGGAAAATGTCTCCTTAATGAAGGATTTGATATGTTTGTTACTGTTTCATTCACAAAAGTATTTTGAATCATAAAATGTCTTGGCTGGGCGTGGTGGCTCACGCCTGTAACAGGCTTTGGGAGGCCAAGGTGGGTGGATTACTTGAGGTCAGGAGTTTGAGACCAGCCTGGCCAACATGGGTGAAACCCCATCTCTACTAAAAATACAAAAATTAGCCAGGCATGGTGTCGGGCACCTGTAGTCCCAGCTACTTGGGAGGCTGAGGAGGGAGAATTACTTGAGCCCAGGAGGTGGAGGTTGCAGCCGAGATCACATGACTGCACTCCAGCCTAGGTGACAGAGCAGGACTCTGTCTCAAAAAAAGAAAAAAAAAAATGCCTGTAAAATGCATCTTCAGTTAAAACAGAGAAACCTGCCTAATGTGAATTTAAATAAGCCCTAAATTATAGATCTATGTTTCGTATTTGTCTCAAAAAACTATATATAGTAAATCCTGGCTGGGTGCAGTGGCTCAAGCGTATAATCCCAGCACTCTGTGAGGCCGAGGTGGGCAGATCACCTGAGGTCAGGAGTTTGAGACCAGCTTGGTCAACATGGTAAAACCCCATCTCTACTAAAAATATAAAAATTAGCCGAGTGTGGTGGTGGGCACCTGTAATCCCAGCTACTCGGGAGGCTGAGGCAGGAGAATTGCTGGTTGCAGTGAGCCAACATGGTGCTACTGCGCTCCAGCCTGGGTAACAGAGTGGGACTCTCTCTCAAAACAAAACTTCTGCCCAGACGCAGTGGCTCACACCTGTAATCCCAACACTTTGGGAGGCCAAGGCGGTGGATCATTTGAGGTCAGGAATTTGAGACCAGCCTGGCCAACATGGTGAAACTCTGTTTATACTAAAAATAGGGAAAAAAAATTAGCTGAGCGTGGTTGTGCATGTTTGTAATCATAGCTATTCAGGAGGCTGAGGTGAATAGCTCAAATGAACCTGGCTGTATCCCTTGAACCTGGGAGACAGAGGCTGCATTGAACTGAGATCAAACCAGTGCACTCCAGCCTGGGTGACAGAGCGACTCCATCTCAAAAAAAAAAAAAAAAAAAAATCTTGTCTGTGGTACTAACTCCATAAATCCTCATCTTTCCTTAATGTCTTGTAACTGTACTTATTACTGTAATTCATTATGTTCATGAATTGACTTTGTTCACCCAGTGAAATTATAAGGTTAGTGATAGCAGCTTCCTAATCTGAATATTTCTTTATGAACTTTTAGGCGATAGTTCTTGAGACCTCTAAAGCAATTCATACAGTAAAGCTGTACAATTTAAGCAAGAAAGTTGTCAATATTTTTGGCTTTTACCTACACAAACTTCAACAGTTGATAATATAATTTATACTCATTAGAAGCCCTGATAAAATTGGAAACCAAATTTTCATTTAATAAATACCATTTATTTTGAAATCAGCTTTTTAAATGTCTTTCATGGTGAAAGATTGGGAATTACTGTTTGGTACTGTCCATCCAGCCCCGTGTTGCATAATAATGTTTATTAAAAATATTAATTTACTGATACAAAGTAACTAATGAACTTTTTTGTTTTTAGGGAATGTGGTGGGCAACTTGGGACATTCCTTCTTCAGTCAGAGTTTCCTTGGCAGTAAAGAACACGGTGGATTCTTATATGTGACGTCTACCTACCAGTCACTGCAAGACCTAGTACTCCCAACCCCACCTTACTTGTTTGGGATTCTTATCCAGAAATGGGAAACTCCTTGGGCCAAAGTGTTTCCTATTCGTCTGATGTTGAGACTTGGAGCTGAATATCGACGTAAGTAGTAAAAACATGTTCTTCTAAGCCGCATGACAAAGGCATGATGACTAAATAATGCCTGAAATATTCAAAGCCCTCTGGTGATATAATTCAGCATAAACAGTCCTTTGAAATAGCTAAGCTAAATTTGGTCAGTGTCTGCATATATTGGGTGTAATGGGAAGGACTGAAAATAACGAATGAGAAAGTTGATTATTACCTTGTAAACGCACTGCTTTTATAGTTCATTGGTAAAAAACATGATCATCTTCAGAAAAGTGAATTTGAGCTTAAGATGTAACTTTTTTTTTATGGTATCTGTATATGATGAGCATATTCTTTGTCACTTGGTTGGAAATCAGTTAAGATAAATTGTATTTTATTTAACATACTGGAAACTAGTAGAATGGAGACCACTCTGAGTTGGTAAGGTAGGCTACAGAAGTAGAGCTTCCTTGCCCATGGCTGTAGCAGTGCAACTAAGATGTGATTTTTAAATAGACGTTAACAGTTAAATGCAAGCTTTATTTTAAACTTTATATCTCTGTGCCCTGTGCTAGGAATCAGATCACTTGAGTAAGGTTCTCAACTCTACCACTTACGAGCTCTGTAACTTTGGGCAAGTCACTTGAGTTCTCTGATTGTGTTTCTTTTGTAAACTGGAAATAATAATGCTTGACTTTTATTTTATATTGAATTGTTAACAGGATCAAATGAGAGAATAAATAAAAACATTATTTTATAAACCATAAAACAGTATATGTTCTCAGCAGGTCAACTTCATTCTTTCACCAATTATATATTCATTCAATAAGAATTTAATGAAGGCTTCCCATATATCCTGAATCCTGGAAATTCTGGAATAGCGAAGACATCATTATGTCTTCTTGGGAACTTTTATAAGGAATACATACAGAAATCATGATTATAATGGTATACTCCATTAAAACCTGTGCTCAGGACGGGCACAGTAGCTCACATCTATAATCCCAGCACCTTGGGAGGCCGAGGCGGGTGGATCACAAGGTCAGGTGGTCGTGACCAGCCTGACCAATATAGTGAAATCCCGTCTCTACTAAAAATACAAAAATTAGCCAGGTGTGGTGCTGTGCGCCTATAATCCCAGCTACTCAGGAGGTTGAGGCAGGAGAATCCCTTGAACCTGGGAGGCAGAGGTTGCAGTGAGCCAAGAATGTGCCATTGCACTTCAGCCTGGGTGACAGGGCAAAACTCCTTCTTAAAAAACAAAATAAAACCTGTGCTCAAAGTTAAGTTTATTGGGAGCCCCAAGACAGGCTCTAACTTGACCAGGAACGAAGGAGTAGTTGGACCATTTTTCTTGGACCAAAGTACCTCTGGATTAACTCTGAAGGAGGCATATGAATCAGCTAAATGAATCAGGGGAAGGGAAGGATTATGTGCCATAGAAGCAACATGTGTATCTTCCTAATTTATACAGGCATTTCACACCATAAAGTTTAAGAGATGAGCCAGCCAGTTAGGATCTCCTGTGATTTGCCTCTCCTAAGGAGGATCCTGGTTAGGAGGTATAGAAGAGTGAACCCTTGGCTAGGTGTGGTGGCTCATGCGTCGAATCCTAGCACTTTTGGAAAGCGGCTGAGGCAGGCGGATCATTTGAGGTCAAGAGTTCGAGACCAGCCTGGCCAAAATGGTGAACCTCATCTCTACTGAAAATACAAAAAAATTAGCTGGGCATGGTGGTGCATGTCTGTAATCGCAGCTACTGGGGAGGCTGAGGCAGGAGAATCACTTGAACTCTCCTGAGGTAGGAGATCACACCACTGCACTCCAGCCCGGATGACAGAGTGTGACTCTGTCTTTAAAAAAAAAAAAAGAGCGAACTCTTAAACTTCTTGGGAAAAAAAAAAAAGCATGACCGCCTAAACTTCTTGAGCACAGAGGAATCAGGAGATATTTGTTTCCTGGATCATGCCAATTCAGTTTGAAGAAGGTTGCTCCCTAAGACCTTGTGGGTCTTTTTTTTTTTTTTTTTTTTTTTGGAGGCAGGGTCTCACTCTGTCACCAAGGCTGGAGTACAGTGGCATAGTCATGGCTCATTGTAGCCTTGACCTCCTGGGCTCAAGCCATCCTCCTACCTCTCAGCCTCCCACATAGGTGGGACTACAGGTGCATGCTACCACACCCAGCTAATTTTTGGTTTGTTTTTTTATAGAGACAGGGTCTCCCTGTGTTGTACAGGGTGGTCTCAAACTCCTAGGCTCAGGTGATCCTTCTGACTCAGCCTCCCAAAGTTCTGGGATTACAAGCATGAGCCACTGTGCCTGGCTATTGTGGGTCATTTTTGAAACTTTTACATCAAGAGGCTTATTCTTGTTATTAAAAGACTTAATATGGCTCAGGATTTGTCTGCTACCATGCCAAGTACTTTTTGAGCCCAAATTGGATGTGTTCTAGTGAGCCATTACAATTATATTTTGAAAACTGTATTAGTCATGAAATCTCTTTTACCAGAGTTTTAAGTTCCCAAACTTAAGTTTGATCATTTCTAATTTCCATAGTTTATCCATGCCCACTGTTCAGTGTCAGATTTCGGAAGCCATTGTTTGGAGAGACGGGGCATACCATCATGAATCTTCTTGCAGTAAGTTGGGATTTTCTTTTTTTCTTTTTCCTTACTGGAGTTTATATGGGAGAAGGAAGGAAGAAAGAAAGCAATTTTATTATTTTATTGATAGCTGTGCACAAGCTGCCACTTTAGGCAGGTTAAGATTTATGCTGAAGAAAAAGAATAGAAAACACACACACACACACTCTCACTCACTCTCTCTCTCTCTCTGTCTCTCTGTCTCTCTCGCAAACATGAATTGAAATGGTACAGGATTCCAGCACCTGATTATATACTTACTGTCTTAACTGATCTTGCAGAATTATTGTGAGGACTAGAAGTAATATATAAATAAATCACCTAGCATTCTGTCTTATTTTTATTTTAAGACTGGAATTGTATGCATTTCTCTTGTGTCTGTATAGGTTCCTATCCAAGCAAAGATTGGTCAGAGATTGTGCTTAGATACCCTAAGCCAGTAAGGCTACTGCTCTCTGCTGATAGATCTGAATTTGGACTGGAATTTCAACTTCATTGTTTTTCTTTCTCCTGGGCTCTCTCATATCTCCTACACACATGCACAGGTTCTGACTCTGTTGGCCAAGAACATGGGTTGGCTTGAGTCCACTAAGGCCTCTGCTGCATGTGTGCACAGACTAAGATCAATCCTGGATATTTGGACAGTTTATGAAGCTCCCTATGGTTGTCTCACCTCCCAGAACTTGCCCCAAACAGGTTTGGTGAACTCAAGCTAATCAAGCTGCTTGGCCTCCCTTTTTGATAATCACCAAGTTACCACTTTGACAATGTTCTATAGTAAGTAAACTCCTCCAAGTAGCAAAGCTTATTTTTTTTTGTTTATTTGTTTTATTTTGTTTGAGACACAGTCCTTATCACCCAAGCTAGAATGCAGTGGCTTGATCTCAGTTCATTGCAACCTCTACCTCCTAAGCTCAAGCAATTCTTGTGCCTCAGCCTCCTGAGTAGTTGGGACTATAGGAGTGCACTACCACACCTAGCTAATTTTTGTGTGTGTGGTTTTTTTGTTTGTTTGTTTTGTTTTTTTTTGAGACGGAGTTTCACTCTTGTTACCCAGGCTGGAGTGCAATGGCATGATCTCGGCTCACCGCAACCTCCACCTCCTGGGTTCAGGCAATTCTCCTGCCTCAACCTCCTGAGTAGCTGAGATTACAGGCACGCGCCACCATGCCCAGCTGTTTTGTATTTTTAGTAGAGACGGGATTTCACCATGTTGACCAGGATGGTCTCGATCTCTTGACCTCGTGATCCACCCACTTCGGCCTCCCAAAGTGCTGGGATTACAGCTTGAGCTTGGCTTGAGCCACTGCGCCTGGCATTTTTTTGTGTTTTTTGTAGAGAGAGTTTTGACATGTTGGCTAGCCCCAAACCCGTGGCCTCAATGAGTCACCCGCCTCAGCCTCCCAAAGTGCTAGTATTACAGGTGTGAGCCACTGCACCCGGTCGCAAAGCTCATTGTTTTTAATAAACTACCTTGCCCTGGTTGAACTGCTTAACTATTTAATGGGATTAGGGGGCATCCCTAGGCAAGAAGGTCACAGACTCAATTCAAAGTTCAGTAGTTTTCATGAAAAGATACTTCTTCTTCTCTTTTTTTTTTTTGAGATGGAGTCTCACTCTGTCGCCCAGGCTGGAGTACAGTGGCTCAATCTTTGCTCACTGCAACCTCTGCCTCCTAGGTTCAAGCAGTTCTCCTGTTTCAGCCTCTGAAACAGCTGGGATTGCAAGCATCTTCCACCACTCCTGTCTAATTTTTTGTATTTTTCGTAGAGACAGGGTTTCACCATGTTGGCCAGACTGGTCTTGACTTCTTACCTCAGGTGATCCACCTACCTTGGCCTCCCTGAGTGCTGAGATTACAGATGTGGCTCACACCTAGCCAAAATGCTTCCCTCCCCCACCTTGAGGCGGAGTTTCACTCTTGTTGCCCAGCCTGGAGTGCAACAGCATGATCTTGGCTCACTGCAACCTCTGCCTCCCGGGTTCAGGTGATTCTCCTGCCTCAGCCTCCCCAGTAGCTGGGATTACAGCCACCCGCCAGCATGTCCAGCTAATTTTTTGTATTTTTTCGTAGAGGTGGGGTTTCACCAAGTTGGCCAGGCTGGTCTCGAACTCCTGACCTCATGATTAGTTTGCTTCAGCCTCCCATATTTCTGGGATTACAGTCATGAGTCACCACACCTAGCCAAAAATTGTTATTTTTTAATAGACACATTATAATTGTACATATTTAAGGGCTACATTTTGATGTCTCAGTACATGTATACCTTGTATAGTGTATCCTCCCACCTCAGCATCCTGAGTAGCTGGGACTACAGACGCCTGCCACCACAGCCTGCTAATATTTGTATTTTCAGGGTTTTGGCATGTTGCCCAGGCTGCTGTTGAACTCCTGGACTCAGGATTTCTGCCCACCTCAGGCTCCCAAAGTGCTGGGATTATAGGGATGAACCACCACACCTGGCCCCTAGAGTCTTGATTTCTTTAGGCACCTATGCCTCCAGGTTAGACAGGGAGTATCTGATATTTAACATAGGCTGCAAGAATTCTGAGAATTCTGAGTATACATGGAAAATTTTCTTCATGTGATGGCTCCAAAACCTCATGGGTGAGCTGCTGATAACTCCTGACTGTGGAATCAGAAATTATTATTAATTAATTTATTGATTTTTATTTTTTAAATTTATTTATATATCTTTTTTGAGACAGGATGTCCCTCTTGTTCCCAGGCTGTAGTACAATGGCGCCATCTCAGCTCACCGCAACCTCCGCTTCCTGGGTTCAAGCGATCCTCCTGCCTCAGCCTCTCAAGTAGCTAGGATTACAGGCATGCACCACTATGCCCAGCTAATTTTGTATTTTTAGTGGAAATGGGGTTTCTCCATGTTGGTCAGGCTGGTCTCGAACTCCCAACTTCAGGTGATCCGCCCACCTCGGTCTCCCAAAGTGCTGGCATTACAAGCATGAGCCACCGCTCTGAGTCCATTTTTATGTATTTTTTTGAGATGGAGTCTTGCTCTGTTGATGAGACTGAAGTGCAGTGGCACAATCTCGGCCCATTGCAACCTCCGCCTCCTGGATTCAAGTGATTCTTGTGCCTCAGCCTCCCCAGCAGCTGGGATTACAGGCATGCAACTCTATGCCCAGCTAATTTTTGTATTTTTAGTAGAGATGCATGTTAGCCAGGCTGGTCTCAAACTCATGACCTCAAGTGATCTGCTCACCTCAGCCTCCCAAAGTGCCTTTTGCCTTTCTTTTTTTTGAGACAGAGTTTTGCTTTTGTTGCCCAGGCTAGAGTACAGTGGTGCGATCTCAGCTCACTGCCACCTCTGTCCCCCAGCCACCCCAGGTTTAAGTGATTATCCTCCTTTGATTTCCTGAGTAGCTGGGATTACAGGCATGCACCAACATGTCTGCTGATTTTTGTATTTTTAGCAGAGACGGGGTTTCGCCACATTGGCCAGGCTGGTCTAACCCTGGGTGATCCACCCGCCTCGGCCTCCCAAAGTGCTACGATTACAGGCATGAGCCACCATGCCCAGCCTTGCCTATTTTTTTATTTGGTTATTTGTCTTTTTGCTGTTAGGTTAAGTTTGTTCTGGATATTAACTCCTTTTCAGATGTATGGTTTGCAGATATTTTCTCCCGTACCTTGTCTCTTCACTCTGCTAATAGTTTCCTTTTCTGTACAAAATCTTTTTAGTTTGATGTAATTCCATTTGTCTAGTTTTGCTTTTACTGCCTGTGCTTTTGAGATCTTATCTAAAAATTCCTTGCCTACACCAAAATTATGAAGCATTTCCCCTGTCCTAATAGTTTCATAGTTTTGGGTTTTATATATAAGTCTTCAATCCATTTTTAGTTGATTTTTGTATATGGGGAGAGGAAGGAGTCCAGTTTCATTCTTCTGCATGTGGATATCCACTTTTCCAAGTATTATTTATTAAAGAGAGTCCTTTCCCCAATGTGTGTTCTTGGCACCTTTGTCGGAAATCAGTTGGCTGTAAGGGTGCAAATTCATTTGCAGGCTTTCTATTCTATGCTCTCGGTCTATGTGTTTATTTTGGTCACTGCTATGCTGTTTTGGCTACTACAGTTTTGCAGTATATTTGGTCAGGTAGTATGATATCTCTAGCTTTGTTCTTTTAGCTCAGGACTGTTTTGGCCATTTGAGGCCTTTTGTGGTTTTATAAAAATTTTAGGGTTTTTTTTTTCTCTCTGTGAAGAATGTCATTGGCATTTTGATAGAGATTGCATTAAATATGTAGATTGCTTTGGGTAGTATGGCCATTTTCACAGTATTAATTCTTCTAATCCATGAACATAGAATATCTTTCCATTAGTTATATTGTCTTTAGTTTCCTTTGTCAGTAGATAAGTTTCATTGTAAAGATCATTTACCTCTTAATTAAGTATATTCCTAGGTATCCTTTTTTTGTAGCTACTGTAAATGAAATTGTTTTATTTTTTATTAGCATATAAAAACACTACTGATTTCTACATACTGATTTTGTATCCTACAACTTTACTGAATTTATTAGCTCTAACAGATTTTTGGTGGCATCTTTAGGGTTTTCTACATATAAGGTCATGTCATTTGCAAACAAGCACAATTTGACTTTCTCCTTTCCAATTTGGATGCCTTTTATTTCTTTCTCTTGTCTAATTGCTCCAGCTAGGACTATGTTGAGTAGAAGTGATTAAAATGGGTATCCATGTCTTGTTTCTGATCTTGGAGGAAAAGCTTTCCACTGTTCCCATTCAGTATGCTGTTAGCTATGGGTTTGTCACATACGGCCTTTATTGTGCTGGGGCTGCTTGTCTTGCATGGCACAGCAGGCCAGCCAGCTATGTGTTGGTTTGTCCACTTTGTAGGTCTGCCTACATGGCAGGGAGGTCCCATGTGAGTTCAATGCCCTCATTCAGTTGGGCCTAAGCTCTCAGCAGCTGGATGGTGGTGCTATAGATACATGTGTGTGTGGTCGACTGACAGTGGGCTTCAGAGATGGAGAGATGGAGTGGCACTTGGCCCCCAGGTAGGATGAACTCTAGCAGTGGATCCAGTTTCAAGATGGTACCATGCTATGACTGGGAATGGGGACTGGGAGGTGTATGACATGGGCTCTAACTCAGGCAGTGTAGTACTGTGAACTTCAGGCAACTACAAACTGGATTCAGGGCTTGTGAGGACTGCGGGACTCTCCTATAGCAAGGAATGCAGGCGACTGCAGTGGTCATGGTGACCATGGGTCCCCAGATTACCCTTTCCACATTAGAAGTAGTCCTTCCTGACTCCAGGCCACTCCTTGCAGGGAGACGGTGCGGCAGAGGCAGAGTGCTTCACTCCCCCTCTCTATAGTGCTGTCAAGGACATCTGCTCCTCCGCAGAGATTTCAGCACTCCCCTGGTGCTCTGCAGCATACTTCCACAGCCACTCCAGTTGAAATATAGTTGTTTATTAGTTGTTTTGGTCCCTTTTGTTGACTAGTGGGGAGCAAGAGCCAGGCAACTCCAGTCAACCATCTTGCTGATGTCACTAGATATGACATCTAGTGATGTCACTGTCTTTTAGAGAGAAAACAATAAGAAAAAAAATCTTGTAGATTTACCCATCTAGTTGCCATTTCCAGTGTTTTTCATTCCTTTGTGTAACCATATTTTCATCTGGTGTCATTTTCCTCTGCCAAAATGATTGCCTATAGTATTTCTTACAATTTAGGTTTGCTGCTGCTGGATTCTTTTAGCTTTTGTATTTCTAACATCTTTATTTGATCTTCATATTTAGAAGATACTTTTGCTAAATGGAGAAGTCTAGGTTGAGTTGTTTATTTTGAGACAGAGTTTCACTCTTTCACCCAGATTGGAGTGCAGTGGCACGATCATGGCTCACTGCAACCTCCACCTCCTGGGCTCAAGTGATTCTCCCACCTCAGCCTCCCGAGTAGCTGGGACTACAGGCGTGCACCACCACGCCCAGCTAGTTTTTGTATTTTTAGTAGAGACAGGGTTTCACTATGTTGCCTCGGCTGGTCATGAACTCCTGACCTCAAGGGATCCACCTGCCTTGGCCTCCCAAAGTGTTGGGATTACAGGCGTGAGCCACTGTGCCCAGCCCAAGTTTTGTTCTTTGAGTATTTTTAAGATGTTGCTCCAGTGTCTTCTGGTTTGCATTGTTTTTCCTCTCATCCCTCTCATCTTTGTTCCTCTCGGCATAAAAATTTTTTCTTTTCTTGTTGTCTTTTCTTATTTTTTTTGAAATAGGGTCTCGGCTGGGCGCGGTGGCTCACGCCTGTAATCCCAGCGCTTTGGGAGGCCAAGGCGGGCAGATCACGACGTCAGGAGTTCAAGACCAGCCTGGCCAACATGGTGAAACCCCGTCTCTACTAAAAAAATACAAAAATTAGCTGGGCATAGTGGCACATGCCTGTAATCCCAGCTACTTGGGAGGCTGAGGCAGAAGAATTGCTTGAACCAGGACCTGGGAGGCAGAGGTTGCAGTGAGCCGAGATTGTGCCACTGCACTCCAGCCTGGGCTACAGAGCAAGACTCTGTCTCAAAAGAAAAAAAAAAGTAGTGTCTCACTATGTTGCCCAGGCTGGAGTGCAGTGGCACAATTATGGCTCACTGCACCCTTGACCTGCAGAGCTCAAGTGATCTCCCCACCTTGGCCTACCAAGTAGCTGGGACTACAGGTGCATGCCACCACACCCAGCTAATTTTGTTTATTTTTTATGCACATGGGGTCTCATTATGTTTCCCAGGCTGGTCTCCAACTCCTGGGCTCAAGCCATCCTTCCACCCCAGCCTCCCAAAGTATTGGGATTGCATGCATGAGCCACTGTACCTGATTTTCTCTGGTTGGTTTCAAAAGTTTTTTGAAATCACAGGTTTGGAGCAAATTGATTATAATGTGCTGTAGTCTAGTTTTCATGTTTCCCGTACTTGGGGTTCATTGAGCTTTTTTTTTTTTAGATCAGCGGGTTTACAGTTTTCATCTGATATTTTTTCTGTTCATCCCCTTCTCTCCCTGAAGATTACTCCAATTATGTGTATATCAGGCTGCTTGAAATTGTTTCACAGCTCTCTAATGTTCCTTTTATTTCCTTTTCAGTCTTTTCTCTCTCTATTTTATTTAGGATAGGTTTTATTGCCGTGCTCTCAATTTCACTAATCTTTTCTTTTGCAATGTTTAAGCTGCTATCTTTTTTTTTTTTTCTTGAAACAGAGTCTTGCTGTTGTCACCCAGGCTGGAGTGCAATGGCACAATCTCAGCTCATCGCAACCTCTGCCTCCCAGGTTCAAGTTATTCTCCTGCCTCAGGCTCCCGAGTAGCTGGAATTACAGGCACACATCACCACGCCTGGCTGATTTTTTGTATTTTTAGTAGAGACAGGGTTTCACCATGTTGGCCAGGCTGGTCTTGAACTCCTGACCTCAGGTGATCTGCCCTCCTAGGCCTCCCAAAGTGCTGGGATTATAGGCATGAGCCATCACGCCCGGCCTTATCAACCTTTAAAAAATCTCAAATGCTGTAATTTTCATCTCTAGAAGTTACAGTTGGGTCTTTTAAGATCTTTTATGTCTCTGCTTAACATTTTGTACATGTAGAAGACGATTATAATAACTATTATAATGCTATTATTTTGGTAATTCTAACATCGTGTATAAGTTCTGGCTCAGTTTCCATGGGTTGATTTTTTTTCCCCCTTATTTTGAGTTGTGTTTTCATGCTTCTTTTTTATTGGTTGCCAGACATTGTGATTTTACCTGTTGGGTGCTGGATATCAATATTCTTGAGGTTTTTCTGCAAGAAATGAAGTCAAGTTACTTAGAAATACCCTCCATCTCACATCATATCCTACATTTCAGTAAATGGCAGTTCCAGTCTTCTAGTAGCCTTGGCTATAAAATTTAGAATCACTTTTAAATCTTATCGTTTGTTCACATTCCATATCCACAGTGGCAAATATTATCTGTTTTTCCTTTAAAATATATCTAGAAACAGGCCGAGTGCAGTGGCTCACGCTGTAATTCCAGCACTTTGGGAGGCCAAAGTGGGCGGATCACCTGAGATCAGGAGTTGGAGACCAGCCTGGCCAATATGGCAAAACCCCATCTCTACTAAAAATACAAAAATTAGCTGGGCCTCGTGGTGCATGCCTGTAATTCCAGCTACTTGGGAGGCTGAGGCAGGAGAATCACTTGAACCCAGGAAGCGGAGGATGCAGTGAGCTGAGATTGTGCCACTGTACTCCAGTGGGGTAACAGAGAGAGACTCCATCTCAGAAAAAGTGTGTGTGTGTGTGTGTGTGTGTGTGTGTGTGTGTGTGTGTGTATTTATATGTACATACATCTAGAAACTGACAACTCGTCACTTTTTAAACTGTTAACATCCCGGCTGGGTGTAGTGGCTCACACCTGTAATCCGAACACTTTGAGAGGCTGAGACAGGTGGATCACCTGAGGTTGGGAGTTCAAGACCAGCCTGGCCAACACGGTGAAACCCCGTCTCTACTAAAATTACAAAAATTGGCCTGGCATGGTGGCACACATCTGTAATCCCAGCTACTTGGGAGGCTGAGGCATGAGAATCACCTGAATCCTGGAGGGAGGTTGTAGTGAGCCAAGATTGTGCCATTGCCCTCCAGCCTGGGAGATAGAGGGAGAGTCTGTCTCAAAATAAATAAATAGGCCGGTGTGGTGGCTCACGCCTGTAATCCAAGAACTTTGGAGGCCAAGATGGGCAGATCACCTCAGGTCAGGAGTTCAAGAGCAGCCTGACCAACATGGTGAAACCCCGTCATTTTTTAGGAAAAAAAAAAAATTATAATAAATAAACAAATAAACTGTTAACATCTGGTCTAAGCTCTCATTATCTCCTACCTGGATTGCTTTTATTGTGTTTCTCTGATCTCTTTTCTTCTATTCTCCCTCCCATACCACCTATTCATTACCAAGAAGTCAGATCTGTTAAAACAGGTCAAAAGCCTCCTAAAGGCAAAAGTACTTATGGTGACCTATAAGAACTATGAAATCACCGGGCGGGGTGGTGCATGCCTGTAGTCCCAGCTACTCAGGAGGATGAGGTGGGAGGATTGCTCGAGCCCAGGAATTCTGGGCTGCAGTGCACTATGCCGATCGAGTGTCCGCACTAAGTTCGGCATCAATATGGTGACCTCCCGGGAGAGGGGACCACCAGGTTGCCTAAGGAGGGGTGAACTGGCCCAGGTTGGAAATGGAGCAGGTCAAAACTCCCGTGCTGATCAGTAGTGGGATCACGCCTGTAAATAGCCACTGCACTCCAGTCTGGGCAACATAGCGAGACCCCGTCTCTAAAAAAAAAAATCAAAAGAACCTATGAAATCTAGCCATTTGCTATTGCTTTGACCTTGGCTCCATCACTCTTGCTCATTTTGTTTCACTCATACTGGATAGATGGTGTGTTAGGGTATATGTGTTTCCTTACAAATATTCATTGAGTGCCTAAGATGTTCCAGGCTTTAAGGATATAGCAAGAACAAAACAGCTGAGAGTTTATACTCTCTTGGAGCTTCCTCTTAGAGAGAGGAGACAGATAGTTAACAAATAAATATAGAAAATATTAAGTGCTGGTAAAGCAGGGTAAACATTCAAAAATATTTTTTAATGTTGTATGTCAGAGGTATATGATAATGTTTGATTTACTTGTAAGAATTTAAAGAGTAACTAAAGAGCTAAAGTACATACAGTGGGGCTTTCATTCTACATTCTCTTTTTATTTAAATAAATAGGATCTTTCAATATTAACGTTCTTTCCATTTGTGTTAATTTTATTACTATAAATAAAATCTTACCGTTGATGAATTAATTTATTCTACTTCAATCTGCTTTGTCCCAGGACTTCAGAAATTACCAGTATACCTTGCCAGTAGTTCAAGGTTTGGTGATTGATATGGAAGTTCGGAAAACCAGCATCAAAATTCCCAGCAACAGATACAATGAGGTAAGATATACCATGAAGGTGTATTTTTCATAGTTGAAAACATGAGTGGAGGTGAAAACTGCATAGTTATGTATAAATTTTATTTATAATTAATTAACAATGAAATCAGTTCATAATATTATATGACTTAGTTCAGTTATGGGGTATTTCGTTACAGAAAGACAACATGTCAAATTTTAACTTATTTGGTCATCAGTTGTGTTATTTTACCTTTTGATGTTATGATAATTAGTGTTAGATTTACATTTTGATTTGGGCATGAAATTACCCTTGTATCCATAATATTATTGGTGAGATTTTTAAAATTTCCCCCCTTCTATAAATATTTATTTACTTATTTTTTATTAAATTTTTTTTTTAATTGAGATAGAGTCTCACTCTGTCACCCAGGCTGGAGTACAGTGGTGCGATCATGGCTCACTACAATGTTGCCTCCTGGGTTCAAGCAATTCTCCTGCCTCAGCCTCCTGAGTAGCTAGGATTACAGGCACCTGCCACCACGCCTGGCTCATTTTTTGTATTTTTATTAGAGATGGGATTTCACCATGTTCGTGAGGCTAGTGTTGAACTCCTGACTTTAAGTGATCCCCCCACCTCAGCCTCCCGAAGTGCTAGGATTACAGGCATAAGCCACCGCACCTGGCCAAATATTTATTTTTAACTGTTCTTAATATTTCAGCACAGTTTAGCATAAATCTTAAAATGGCTTTAAATAAGGTTCCAAAAGCAAATGATTCATTTTGAATTAAGATGTATTTTGTAACTAAAGTTAAATTGTACATACTATACACATATTAACAATTATATAAATATTCTTTGCTTATTTGCATGTGAAGTCTTTTTTGAATTTAAATATTTAAAAAATCTGTTCCAAAATGTCTCATGATAAGTATTGGGCTTTTAAAGAGATTTTATTTTGAAACTTAGTTTGATATAATAATGATTAAAATTTGTTGTTTTATTAGGGTGAGAATTCTACTTCTTCCACTATTTCTTAGATTTCTTTCTTTCTTTTCTCTTTCTTTGGAATCTCACTCTGTTGCCCAGGTTAGAGTGCAGTGGCAGGGTCTCAGCTCACCTAAACCTCCACCTCCCGGGTTTAAGTGATTCTCCTGCCTTGGACTCCTGAGTAGCTGGGATTGCAGGTACCCGCCAACAAGCTCTGCTAACTTTTGTGTTTTTAGTAGACATGAGGTTTCACCATGTTGGCCAGGCTGTTCTTGAACTCCTGACCTCAGGTGATCCACCCAGCTTGGCCTCCCAAAGTACTGAGATTACAGGCGTGAGCCACTGCATCCAGCCAGATTTCTATGTATAGAATAATTTTTCCTTCCTTTTCTTTTTTTTTTTTTACTTTTCTTTTTTCTTCAATCAGCCACTAAATCATTCATGCATTGAATAAACATTATATACTTGGTATGCACTTAGAATCACACAGATGTTTTATTGGATTGTTGAGTTCAGTTCTCAGCATTATTATGAGAAATGACCTTTGTCAAAGCTTTTACCTATATGATTTTTTTTCTTTTAGGATATTAGAAAATAGTAGCTAGAATGTGTGGCACGGTGGCTCATGGCTGTAATCCCAGCACTTTGAGAAGCTGAGGCAGGCAGATCACCTGAGGTCAGGAGTTCAAGACCAGCCTGGCCAACATGGTGAAACCCCATCTCTATTAAAAATACAAAAATGAGCTGGGCATAGTGGTGAGCACCTGCAATCCCAGCTACTCAGGAGGCTGAGGCAGGAGAATTGCTTGAACGTAGGAGGCAGAGGTTGCAGTGAGCCAAGATCTTGCCATTCCTTTCTAGCCTAGGCGAAAAGAGCGAAACCCTGTCTCAAAAAAAAAAAAAAAAAAAAATTATGCCTGCTTTCTGAGAGTTTGCTGTCTAGTAAAATTATGGCATTAGTAGCCCATCTGGAGCAGCTGCTGCCATCATGGTGGCTGCAGCAGGGGGGTGCTGCCAGGGCTACACAGTCTGGATCCCACAGGAGCTGGGGACAGGTGGGAGCCCCACCCCTTCCAAGTCAGTGGGGTGGGAGCTCCCTAGGTGCAGCCACCCAAGTTGTGGCTGCAGACCTGGGCCTTCTGTTCCATGGAGCAGGCAGGAGTCCCACCCTCCCAGGCTCAGCTACAGCTACCCAAGTTGTGGCTGTGGGCCCAGGCATCCTTGCATTCTTGGGGGCTTAGGAAGGCCCCCTTCCCTCACAGGCTCGGAAATGCCTACTTCTGCTGCCTGGCTTTTTCCTGCCATCAGCACTCACTCCAGTCTCAGAGCAAAGTTGGGGCAATGCTGACACACCAATGGAAGGGCCTGAAGGCTGGGGGACCGGGCTGCCAGTCCCATGGACGGTAGTGGGAACATGTTATGCCTTTTCTGGGTCTGCCCATGGCCACCCATGGACAATTAGGTGCACACTTCCTCTCCTCTGAGGCCTATAAAAGCCTCGGGGTTAGCCAGAGCTGAGCTAACCCAGCTGCAGAGAGGAGCTACCCATTCCAGGGCCTCCTATCTGCTGAGACCTGTAGACGTTGGGACAACCAGCTGTAGAGAGAAGCTTCCCATTCCAGGGCCTCCTCTCTGCTGAGCACTGAACACTCAATGTGACGACCTGCCTGTAGAGAGGGGCCACCCACCCCAGAGCCTCCTCTGAGCTAGCCGGTTACTCATAAAGCTCCTCTTCACTTTGCTTACCCTCCACTTGTCTGCATACCTCATTCTTCGTGGATGCAGGACAAGAACTCGGGACCTGCTGAATGGCAGAACTGAAAGAGCTGTGACACAAACAAGGCTGAATCATGCCCCTTGCTTGCCACATTGGAAGTGAAGAGAAGGAGAGAAGAGCTGCATCCCTTTGGGGAGTCCAGACTTGGGAGCTCCCCAAGCCAGGGCTGTGATTCCCTGTTTGGGGCCCTGCAGTTCCTGGAGTCACCAGGCATCCCGATGCTACCACGTTTCCTGGTGGCAGCTGTGGAAGCTGCTTGCAGTGTACCTGGTTCAGTTGCAGCCTTGCAGAGAGCCAGTGCCTGTGCCAGCACCTGGAGCTACCTGCCCCACTGCAGCAGCCAGCATGTCTGACTGTGTGCAGTGGCTGGACTCCACGGTTGCTTGCTCACACACTCCTTGCTGCTTCACTCCCGGTTCACCATTGGCAGGCATGGGATCCAGGCTGGTAGTGTAAGCCTAGTGCAGCCTGCCAGGTTGAGTGGACAGAAGAAGCCCAGCAGGCCTGAGCAAAACTCGGGCAAAGGCACCACTGGCCACAGAGCTTTGTAGCCAGAAAAGCAACACTCCAAGGATCCTGCAACAGTTAGATGATCAGATGTCATTCCCAAGCAAGTAACATATGTTGCTGTTCTTGATGTTTGTGAGGTGGTGCTATGTGTTTAGAAAAATTTTGTTTGTACAAGTATATCTGTAAAAGCTATGAGGCCCTCATATTTACTTCTTCTTCCTTTT